CACGGATATCCGTCTCCGGCGGTAAGGTCTCAATAAGTACGGAGCTAACACACAAATTACCCATAACAAGGTCGTGTGTGACCGACCTCAAACAGTTGTCCCTTGGGCACTGCGGTCACGCTCTCAGGTCACTAAGACCACCTCTAATCCAATTTCCTTTTCAGATACCTCCAGAACAACCCTTCCACGGTGTGGGCAACCGGGAAGTGATAACCACCCTCATACCTCTATCATATATTACCGCATACAAGAATTTGAACTGTGTATATAGATAATAGTTGACTTATTCATGTATATATGCAAATCTAACGGTAAAAAAAACTGAAAAATAAAGCTTTTAATAAAGTAGTTTCAATTGCAAACTGGATTTCACTAGAAAACTATAGGAACTCAAGTTTGAAACTCTCCAGTATTGGTCACCAACAACACTTTTGATCATGTAATCTCTAGATCAACATAACAATAATAGTTTTTTAAAACTATTTATAGTGTGTTACAGGTTATCGTGAACAATTCCCGGGTTTGTATTGTTTTGCTTCATCGAATCAAGAATATGTTGCATAATAGTCCGATTTTTCTTACCAGGTCCAATAAATACTGTTCTATTACAAATTCAGGAAAATTTGCATCAAATATACTCAAATTGATAAGTCCAAAGCTATTTAAAAATTTCCACAGGTTGAAATCATGAGTCGATTGAAGCTAGACCACCATGGAAAACCTGGAAGCACTGGACGGCCGTTTCGTCCTAGTATGGGACTCCTCAGCAGTACGCATCCACGATCCCGCACCGCGCGGGGCTCGAACCCAGAACCTACTGGCTTCGCGCGCGAGCACTTAACCATTAGACCACTGAGCCGGCATCCAACGGTGTTAATGTCTAACTTCAACCAATCCACGAAGTTGTACCACCGTACACCATTGTCTTCAGTGAGTTGTTATCTCACAACAGACCTGGGTGAACTCCACTGGTAACGGCTTCTCACTAGAACTCCAGGAGTTTTTCCTGAAGTCAGTCACTAGTGAGCAGTTGATTATTATCAGAATGGGTTTTGTGGAGAGTTTTAGAAATTTTCACAGGTTGAAATCATGAGTCGATTAAAGCTAGACTCATGATTTCAACCTGTGAAAATTTCTAAAACTCTCCACAAAAGCCATTCTGATACTATTTAAAAAATGTACACGAAGAAAGAAAAACTATCGTATTTTGGTTAACTAACCAAAAACTAATCAATGTTTGATAATATATCAACTTGTCTTTGATGCTAGGTGGTTGGAAGTAGTTGGAAGATAAACCTGTATGACCTAGGTTTTATGCTAGTTGGCAGTCATCTTATAAGCTTGCATGTGAATTTGAAAGAACTAATATTCTCCACAGAATTGAAACGCCAATCACTCAGTTTCACAATCTGATATATTAACACCAAGTTATTCGGGCAGAAACTGACCTAGATATTCTTACAGCTAGGTGATCATAGTAGTAACAAATATCAGTCCTTAATGTTGATTAGATTCTATAAGTGAAGTTACAATATTGCTACTCAACATGATATGCTATATAGTTCGATATGAGTTGGTTGGAGATGGTCGGTAGACTTTCACAATCGTGTACATTTAATTTCTAGCTATACACTATAATCTATCGAGAACAAAATTGTAAACAATTCAAAAAGTGAATTTGCAAAACCAATTGATATATATTGTTACGTATACCTGAATATCGATTACCACGACGCGCAATGCTGACTAGTGTTGGAGAGAGCTAGAAGAACGTTATGGGGCAGTCAAACCGAAATGTAGCATCAGTGCTTGAAGTCACTAACTTCTAGTCTTAACCATGATGGTAGATACAGACCACTTGGTTGGGGTCCGCGTAACTAACGTAACCAATGGTTAAAGATTCTGGGTGATATGGACCAGAATCGATCACAATAGCGTAGGTGTATATATAACTTCGTATACAAATGGTTCGACTAAAAGTCAGTCCTTCAGGGCACACTAACCATCTTAAATAACACCCAGAAATATGTTACTTGTACAATAAACAAAATCTTAAGTTACATTCTTTTAGTATATATACACACACAGAGAGAGAGACAGAAGATAAATACTTGTAGGTGTATCTATGCATGAATTTGAGACAAACATTGTAAAACTTATAAAAGGTAAAATAATTTATACGTGTAAAAGCCAAGAATAAAGTTAAGAATGGGGAAAAAAAGCAAAAGAAAGAACTGACTTCGGTTATTTTTCCATTATTAATAATTTATGATATAGGATCAAAAGAATCTACTTCCATTATATTGATTATATGAATTGTCTATCCATATATATGCAAGAATGTAATATGGGTATGTTGACTTGGTATTTTAAAAAGAAGATTGATTAGTAGTATAATAACAATGAAAGGGATTGTGAATTTAAAATATTTCTGACGTAAAATGATATTGGCAGAGAAAGAAAAAAGTAGAATTAGCAAATTCTAGAGTACTTAATAGTTATGATTGTTGTTCAAATGCAAAATATAGTGCATAATTTAAACCTTGTCCTGGATTAGTTAGTAATTATTCTATCCTATCAAAAAGGCTTCTAACGAAAATCAAAAAAAGTAATTTTTTGATTGAGATCATGAACTGATTGATGTTAGACCATTATGGAAAACCTGGAAGCACTGGATGGCCGCTTCGTCCCATTGTGGGAATCCACAGCAGTGCACATCCAAGATCTCATTCACGAGATTCCAACCCAGAACCTTTAGCCTTGCACGCGCACTGAGCCGGCATCCAACAGTGTGAATGTTTAACCTCAACTAATCCACGAAATTGCACGAACATGTTCCATTGTCTAAGATATCTGTCTCTACCTGACATGGATTAAATTCACTAGTCACAGCTTCTCATAAGAACTACGAAAATCCCCCCACGAAGTTAGTCACTAGTGAGCAGATGGTAATTATCAGTATAGGATTGTGGAGATTATTAAGTTTTTAACTGAGACTATGAACCAATTGATCTTAAAACACCATAGGATGAAACGGCCGTCCAATGCTTTCAGGTTTTCAATGGTGGTCAAGCATCAACCGGTTCATGATCCCAATTAAAAACTTAATAATCTCCACAACCCTATGCTTAAAAAATTATTATCTATATTTTATAACCAATGGATACTGGTTAGTTTCTGAAGATTAGTTATTAACATTGAAAGTTTTGGATACATGATTTGTAAAGCAAAAACTAGGCATTACGAGTAACTTCCCAGTTATCTACAATTTTCCACTGATCAATTAATTGATTTCTAAATCAATTCATGACGTAACAATAATTGATTTTCTGAGTAGAACCAATAGTACAACAATCAGTCGATATGCTTTTGATAGTAAACTACTGAATAAATTAAGTTCGGTAACATGGGAGAAACTAACTACGATAAAAACAAGAACTGATATGGAGTGAATTATTTTAATTTATAGTCCAAGTATTATTACACTTCAAAGAACCGATGACAAATTGGTTGATGAGGTAGTGAGTCTTCATGGATTGAAATGATTAGGACGACATGCACTGAATATGGCCAACTACCAAATGACTGAAAGGAAGATGTAGTTTAGTGTAGTGATACGTTGGAAGAAAGCTACAGACTTCCAAATTGAGACAACGTATAATTGTATGAAATTATTAACAATTACACTGGGAGCCTTGTAAACAGGTGCAGACTACTTGGTTTGGGACTTCACAACAAACGTAACGAATACCTCGAGATGTTGGGTAAAATAATTCAAAATTAGTCTCAATGATGTAGATACATAATCTCTGTTTTTAGGTTCTAAATTTCTAAATTATCTTAGTATTTTTTTTCATTCCACGAACCAATAGTTTCTTCTATAATCATACATTCTATACTTAATTACTTTTATAACTACTGATACTGTTACTAATTCTACCACACTGGTATTTGTTTTAATAGTTTCAGTGAACTGTACTAATGTGGTTTAGCAACTTGAATTGATGTACACAATGGATATGACTGATTGACTTTAAAAAGTGATCAGTATTTCAGTGTAACTAGGAAATTTATTTAGTTATTTATTTTATTACATAGATATTGGTACAAGCAGGCACCAAATACATATGCGCCACATAAATCTCATTTGATATGTATGAGGGCTGTGATACTGCCCGGGTGCCCAAACAGAAGCAAGTAGTTTTCTTAGGGGGCCACATCCGCAGTGGAGCAACGTAAGGAGACACATTCTCATGGTAGCCGGTCACCAACGATTAGTTCATACGCCATTTGTTCCTTTAGGATACTGGAGCCAGCCAATGTGCACCATTGGTTTGGAATCAGGGTTTCCCAACTCCTCTAGGTGGACTCTCAATGTCCACCAACCCGGTTAAGGCGCTGGACATTCGCTTTTCGTCCTCTCAATTTTGTAAACAACACGCCTACCACGAGAAGGCAGTGAGTAAGACTTCCCTTACAGTGACTATATACATATGACCATGTGAGAGCGTTTCGAGAGGTAGAGCGGACTCTCCCTACTCTCGGCCGTACGAGGGCATAACTTAGGGTTTTACTGAAACCAATTGAGGACAAAAATAGATCGAAACTATAAATCAACACAAATAATATGAGCAGTATTATGTCTCATCAATATTATAATGTAGCTCAATGACAGAGGCTATCTGTATAGGAAAATATCATCCGACTAAAAATAATAAGCTAGGTTTTACTGACCATGCTTCTTTAAAACCTAGTGCGAAGTTAATCTTATCTGATTTAAAAAGGACAGCGCCTATTTATGACCAACACATCGGTAAATTTTACTGTACATTGTGAATATTTTTGTGGGATCAAAATTCATTTGACTTAAAAAATTAACAATAAATTCAGTAGCGTCCTTCTAAACTATTAAAATTCCACACTGAAATGTGAACACCGTTTAAAGGTTACGGCTGTCACACATTTAAAAAAATATAACGTATCACCCAATAGGCGCTTACATGACCACTTCTTCGTAAGTGAACAAGTGACTGTGCATAATCGTTTAATTCATCGCACAAATGGATTATTGCTTTACTATTTGAACTTGTTTGATTTAAATTGGCTAAATTTCTTGCTGAATTCAAAACTTGATTCAGTGCTTTCTCACCAGCTGTCATTGCAACGGAACACTAACAGATGAGAAAATAAACAAGAGATTTAAAAAAGAATGAGACTGAACAACATATACACAGAGAAAGAGTTCTTATTCGCCTACATTATTCTGTGAAGATATTGGTGTGATAAATTCATCCTTAAGTTACACTACCTTACAATTAGCTGCTCCCATTTTTATGTACCCATCTCAATCTAAAAATAAATACAGATACACTGGTTAAATAAAAGACGTGCTGCCTACAATTCTTTGTAGGATTAGTATACAACTTTAATTTATTTAAATGACTTTCCAACTGTTTTTTTTAAATATTTTCCTTGGTGATTTTAGGATACTCAAAACCAAACTGATATCCAAAGGTCGTCAGATAAGTCGTGAGACGATTATACATCGGGTCGGGCAGTGTAATTATCAGGAATTGTAGCAATTTCTCAAAAATCAAGCAAACATGTTAGTCTAATCATGTTAACGACTTCATTTGCTTGGCTTTGGTCGCCTAGTCAAACGGCTAACAAGTAGCTTAGATTGTAAGCAACTGCTAGTTAAGATGTTTCTGTATTACGCAAAGAAAAATAACATTTATTCTTGTCTATAAAACAAGAACGTTTTCGACAGGATGCGAAAAACAATTAATTAATAATATAACATTCTCTAATTTGTTGGAGATAATAATTCAAACAGCCTCTCTAAAACTTAATAGGTCAAAAGATTTAAAATCTGTTAACAGATGCTTTGTAAACCGGGCTGTAAATTTTCAGGTTTCGAGTACTTTATTCACGTACAGAATATCAGTGGCTTGGACAAAAGATAGGAAACCACCTAAAACAATAATCTAAAAGTCACTGGTAACGAGTAATTTAATATTTTTATTTAATTTTACCCAAACAAATATCAATTATTAAACTGAGCTTAATCAAAGGGATTTACAGTTCAACACAATTAGACATTCTGCTCTTTAAAGAAGAGGGGTGAAGTAGTTAAGTATGATAAATGATAAATGATAAAGGTATTCAACGAGTAAAAATCAGTTTCGTTTATCCGTTCATTTTAAAATTATTCAACTGTTTAACTTCTTTTTCCCATGTTAAACTATGATTTTAACGTCAGAACCATCTGGACGTCCTAGAATGATTGTGAAGCATAGAACAGAATATTTAAGAGCAGTGACAAAGTGGTTCAGGCACGCGAACCTGCTTCAGTTTGGGAGCCCGAGTAGTATTCCAGTCCTTACAAATATCGAATGATTCGCGGCGTGTATATATTTGCTGACTTCTTGTACCAATGTTCATGTGTTTAAATCGATATATAAATATGCGAAATCTGAAAGCTAAGTTGTAGATCTAAATGTTACATCAACATGGGTTTTGGCAGCTGAATAGTATCTTCAGCCGTCATACACAAAAATGTGACGCGAAGTCCAGTGCATAAACCCTATACTTGATAAGCAGCAAGAACAAACGATTTGGTAGGTCTTGATATCAGAAAATTGTAATTGTTAGCTTATTTTCTCTCTCTAGTTTGTTGATTTGCAGTTCTCCCATTGGATTAAAGTAAACCAAAATAATACTGAATTATATTAAGGTGTGTTATCTAGCATCTATTATCAACCTGTCTCAACAAGAAGTACTACTAATACAAAAGCTGAGTTACAGAAGGGTGATATTTCAAAAGTGAAAAATACCCAGTAGTATAAAGCTATTTTTGTAAAGACCGAGCAATAAAATACAGTTATGCACCAAGCTGTATAATTCCGATCACTAAGTGTGCTACACAAAAGTAGGTAGGAAATTGAGTGATTCTCATCAACTGAAACATATCTGTATAACTTACAAAACTTATTTCCTAAAATATTAAACTGGGATTATGTATCACAGCTCGAATTTTCAAAAGTACTAATATATATTAACTATTACCAAAAAATATTCTACAAGTATCTTATATCACGTCGACAAACAAAAAATACGAACAACTTACATTCGAATCAGAAATCCAGTCACTGACAAACTGTAGACGGCTATCAAAAGCTGCTTTATTCATATGCATAGCCGCTAAGTCATCATCGAATAACTCTGATGAATCCGTTTCGGTAAGCTGCAAGCCACGTATAATTTCATGTATTTCACTGGACATTTCAGACAACAAGAAGTCTCGGTTTGCTTGACTTTCAGCAGCTCCAGGTAGATCTGTATAAAACATGTGTAACTAGCTTAAACATTGCACACGACAGTATATTGGGCGCGAAATAGATAAAGTATGAAATAACTAACAGTGAACTCGATAAAGAGTAAGTTGTGACGATCTGACTGTGACCATTTAAAACACGAATTAAATTTACAACCAATATGCTACATATCACCATAGGATATATTCTTACTAAATATTTGATAGGGGTTAAATAAGAAATACTATGAACATATCCGAAGATTAACAGTTATGCAAAGATTATTTGACCATCAAGATGCCAACACAAACTAAATTCGAGCTCATGTGAACATAAGCAATTCAAATAGGCATTATTCATAAACTATGTGGAACACATGTTCATTGACCACTAATTTTTAGTGATGTATATGAACGTAATCATGGTTAAAGTAGCTACATATATAACCAGACCTAATCGACAATGGATAACAGGATAGTACATTCACAATTTTCACTTCTACAAAGGACCTTACAACTTTAGAAGAATTGAAAAACATTTTGAGATATTTAACTTACGATTTTGGTGTGTATTTACGTGCAGTTTCAAAGACGATATTAAAATAGGCGTAAGACGTTTCACTTGTTCTATACCCCTAAGAAGCAGGGCAGAGTGAGACTGAATAGTCAATTCTTCCTGTCGATTGTCTACTTCTTTAATCATATCCGCCATACAAGGGGTTAGTCTCTGTACAACGTTCAAGATTTAACAAGTAATTACCTTAACAAAATCAGCCAAACCAGTGAGACTCGAAACATGTTCCGCAGTGGCTAGGACACTAAGTACTCGTCTGCAGTGTCTGATGATTTTTCGTACTTCAGACATATCAAAGGTAAGAAGCACAGATGATGTTCCCTGTAGTATGCCTGAAGAAAATATAAACAAAATATGTTACCTCTAGATCCTTCTATCAGTTTCCTTCGTGCTTCTGAAGAGTTTGGGTCGTTTTGCAACAATACGACAGCATCCTGAAGATAAAAAGATGCATCTTCAACACGCTTGAGTGAAGGCGGCATATCTCTCTGTAGCAGCTGGTCATCACTAGCCTCGATTGTTTGGTGACCAACCTTTTGTAATGGTTAAAATAAGTTTATGCTAACCTTTATAAGGTTTTCAACTGCAAGTTTTACAACATTTACACGAAATTCCAGATCAGGAATCTCTGTACCTGATCCAGCATCCTCAAAAAGTAATATTAGCTTTAAAACCTTTTAAGTCGTGTGACTAAGCTAACGCGGAAAATACCTGTTGAGCTACTGGGCTGAGGATACGTTCTATTGATTTCGTATGAAACGACATCACGAAAACAAGGTAACGTTTACATCTAAATGAAGCAGACTCTGAACGTCCAATCGTTGAACGCTAAAAAAACATCACTTGGAGTTTGAAGATAATGTGTAGTAGTCAGAGTTACTGAATTGATTAGTCACATTTTAGGAGTTCCATTTGCGTTTTAGGCAGAAATTGTGTCTTGTTATCATAAACATTACCACAAAGCCATGAGGTCAATAGTGCGACTTTAAATATCTATTGAGATGATCATTTTCGGTTCCAGTTTAGAAATGACAGGGATTATGGTCTCTCAGTTGATCCAACGTTTTGAGAGAGTCGACAGAGGGAGCTTTAAACACGTGTTGAGGTGATTAATTCGACTCGTCGATGATTCGATGGGAATGTCGATTTTCAGCTGACAAGCAGTTTGTTCTAGGCTTGTGAACCTTTTGAGTGTACCCTCGAAAATCCTCCGTTTCAAACGACAAGAAAAATGAGGGCATATTGGATGCACGGTTATACGAAATAATTTGAAAACTGTAATCAAGTCACTTCTAGTTCTTTGATATTTCAACAGGAATAAGTTCAGTTTACCCAATCGAACATCATAAGAAAGCTATGCTTTTCCAAAAATCATTTTGTTTTCTATTTTTTGAACCTTTTACAAAGGCTTACTGTTCATTTTATAAATAGAGGGTAGCCGCTTGTATGCAGTAATCGATTTTAGAACTCACGAATACGGTAATCAAAGTCAGTAAAAAGTTGTAGCGGCGACATGGATAAAAGCCCTATATAGTAACCATGGTGTCATAAAACCCTTGATGGTTGTTGTACTGCAGTGCGTAGTGGTTTTTAAGTCTTCGATAACGATGACTTCCATGTCCTTGTGTTTCTGAACAACAGGTAGCTTAATGTTATTCATCATGTATGTATCTGTACATTGATGACCAATATGCATCACAATGAATTCGGAAGTATTATCCAGCAACTACCAAGTTTGAGTCCATTCAGATAATTTCTCCAGGTCATTTTGAAGCTTAATTCGATTTTGGTTTGAGCTCCTAAATCTCTAAATTCTTTGGGTTTCAACTATCCTCGAGGTTGATTAGAATTCAATTTTTACCAACGACAATTAAACTGTGATTGGGGGGAACCAGTGATTATATTTCAGTCATGCTTAAGTATGGATACGTTTTTCTAAATAATAACTACAGAAGTAATAATCATTTTTTATGACTTTCCCCCAAATTGCCATATAAATCATTCACTTCATTAATAAGACTATACTGGAAATACCTGTATATCAGGCTGGACAAGTTTGGATGATCACATCACTAACTTGAGTTCGGAAATCATCATTTTCATAAATTATCGCTTTTAAACGTCTGTATTGATTATTAAACAATCATGAGTTTTCGCCAAACTGTTGGCTTAGTTATTGCATAGTATCATTTAATAGCGGCTTCTTGAATTCGGAGGTAGGACAAGATTACATTACATATCCAACTCAGTATGACCTAGTTTTCAAATAAGTCATCTGGCTTTCTATCCATCGTCTTACCTAGCAAAATCAAATTTAAATTCTTATCATGCCGTCTGCACTCTGAGTCAGATGTAACATTTGAACCGAGATTATAGCTGAGTTCAGCAATGTTGTTATGGTGTGAAAGACATGGAATCTGCGTGTTGGACTCTGCTGTAGATGTGTTCTAGTTTTCACCATCCAGATCTACTGAAGCACTATAATTGTTCTGACTTGTTGAAATTCTTTCCCCATTCCATTACCAGCGCTAATCAATAAGTACGTGTCCTGTACTAACTGCCCACTACTTTGACTTCACCACTGAGAACAGACCTATTATTATTATTCACAAACATCTTATGAGTACATAAGTGTTGTGAAGAAACCATTTCGGGTTTCTTCAGAAAATGCAACAATACACAATTTTCATTAATGTTAGCATTATACTTGCCTTATTTAAAAGATATAGAGTAAAAATAAAAGAATATTAAAAATAATAAATCGGGTCTGTGTAATTGAGAAGATTAGTGAACTGGTATTAAAGAAGGCAATGGAGAAAATAAGGGAATAGAAATAAAGGAGACGTGAATTACGCAAATATTTTAATAAGCGTTTTTATGAACACAGAACAAAAATAAACGACCATGTACATATCGTCAAATTAGTAACAAAAAATGATTAATAAAAAATAACTTATTATCGCAGTAAGATATGACGCTGGAATAAATGTTTGTGAAGTTATAGTTTGGAGTGATGCTAGGAAAGTCTCAACGAAATGAAAAGGATAACGAAATATCAATATGTATGAGTCATATATGCATAGTGAAGATGAAACGGGTCTGAAAGTTAATTTAAATGTTACACAAGATATTGCCTTAATTACAAACGTCATAATTTTAAGAAGAATATTTGCTGAAAAGGAAAAAGGAGAGAGAAAGAAATGGACACCTGATGAAAAAGTTCATCCATGATAAGAATAATAATTGTGTAATGAATATCGACCTCAGAAGTAAACCAGCAATTGAGAAAAATAAAATAAAAATCCTTTAGTGCACTCGGATGAATACATATAGATATATGTAATACTATGCAGAGTGAAACCGGATATTAGTATAAATATTTGTGCAATAATAATTAGGAAGGATGCTGAAGATGACACAGGTATTCAGTGTTTGGCAACGCTTCTACCAGTAACACCTAATATGATTCGTTCCCACCCAGAGAAATCAAAGGACAGAGTCGAGGAGATCGGAAGAGTATATTTGGCGATGACCAATATATCGGAATTCTCTGATCTAATCTGGCTAGCGATTGCGGTAGATGTTGAGCACAGCGTTACCACACGTGACCTGGTGCGGATGCCTGACCGAGTGCCTGCAGCCAGATGAGTCCACTAAAACATATGGTCAGCATCCGATGTTGAAAATTTACAGAGCTATTTATTTTAGGGATTTATTTACCGCTACAGATCACCCCCCTAGTGGGTTAGTGGTGACCCAAAGACGTGGTCAGCCAGAAGTTCAAACCCAGCGAGTTTGTCGTTGATAAACACTCTTCTGATAGCTTACTAAATTTAGCAGCGTCTGGTTGTCTTTCCTTACTATATGGGACGGAGGTACAATAGTAAAAAAAAGAAAATATACGATGAAAATTTCAGCTCCCCATAAACATCATCGTTCTTTTCCAGCCGTCCTGGAAAAGAAAGAAGAAAATGTAAGTGTATGTCGCAATACACTCGTATATGCGTAAAAATACAATGTCGGCGAAAAAATTGGAATATAAACTAATTCACACGTTATATCGCTTTAAAAATTTATATGGTTTTTTGTTTTTTTGAAATAAAAATATATGCGCATATTAAAATTTTTAAAATATATATTATATATCGTAAAAAGAAAGATCGAGATAATATTAAATGTCTAGTAGTGCCTTACGTGCAATAGTCGTTTAAATGTTCTGGAAATCTTACTCTTCTTCCAGAACGCGTCGTTTTAAGTTTATTTTCAGATACATTCGGAGTATCATCGCATGTGTTGGTTGTCGATTGAGGAATTATGAGTGGAGTCGTGTCGTTCGATTGTACCGAAGGAATATCGACGTGTATAGGATTTCCTTCTAAATACGCTGTTTTGAGGCGATCGATGCTAATGCTATCGTTTGTTCCGCTCTTATCGACTATGTAGTACTAGATCCGCGTTGAAGAACTTTGAAAGGTCTTTCGTATGCTGATTCGAAAGGTCGTCGATGCGAGTCTCGACGTACGAAGACGTATGTACTATACAGTAAGTCAGGTTGAACGAAAACATCGGTTGATTGAGGTCGAGTGGAAGCAGGTTTAACTGAACGCATTGAGTTTGTAAGCCTGTTCGTGTAGGAGGTTAGATCCATGCTCACTGAAGAGAATGAAGGATCCACGAATTCTCCTGGAAGTCGAAGAGTCGTTCCATATACCAGTTGAGCCGCAGTGTATCCAATGTCAGCATTGACTGCATTGGGGATATCTAGTAGGACGAGTGGAAGAGCGTCGGTCCACTGTGAAAGTCACAATTGATTTCAAAGGACAATCTGAGGTTAAATATGTTTAGAAGGATAAGAGATAAAAAGAATATCCTCTTCTTGCTCCTCTCCCGATGACTGGAATAAAATACCGGTTTTTCACATGTAACATTTTTCTTGTTGACACAATGTAGCAGTTGGAATATAGATGTCCTCCTAGAGAATAAAATACAGTGTGATCAAATATCTCCAATCGCCGAACTATAATTAGTGAACAAACAGTGATACGGAAATCCTTTATTTCAACTATTACAGTAATTCCATCCACTTATACATCAATACTGTTATAATGTCAATTACAAATTTCTAAAACAGCATTTATAACACCGAATTCCTCCCTGATTTTGTCAGATATTCTCACTTACTGGAATTCAAACGCGAACCGAGACACGATAAAACTAATAACAAGCCAGAGGACGGAATGTTAGAGTGACCAGACACGGTCTATGGTTTCAACACCTTGGGTTCCCTGACACCTACTATAGGCAATCGATTGTTTTTCAGTCAAAAACATAAAAACATTCAAAATGGGTACTTGCAACTAATAAAATCATAGGTAGCATTTTTTAAAAATTCGAATAATGGCGTTCACACTGAAAAATACAGTGTAATAATTTCAATCTTATCTATAATAATTTATTTTTCTTTAGTTGCAAATGAACGTTCCACATTGAGTACGTTATTGTAAAACATTCAGCTCTCAATCTAAGTCTCACTGCTTAGTAACGATTATATGGCAAGGATTTTGGCCAAGAGCACCACAAAACCATTACTTTACAACGATAAACCTCGAAGATCCAATTACAGCAAGATAAATTACTCGAATCTGGCGGGTGATTTACATATTCCATGGTGCACAGGTGTCTGCAAAACTATCAATGGGTGTGGACTTGATGATTTGACGAGTTATATAGCATTGTTTTGGCAAACTTTTGATGTACTAATTCTTTACGAATCTTGCCCAGTGTTACATGTTCAA